AAATCTGGCCCACTGCCTGTTTTTGTAAGTAAAAATTTTTTGGAACACAACCACACTTGTTCACTTACCTATTGTCGTGGTTACTTCTGTTCTACAACAGAATTGAGTAGTTGTGACGGTCTAGATAGTCCACGAAGCCTAAAATACTTGTTCTCTGGCCCTTTACAGAAAGTTTGCCAACCCCTGGGATAGATTATTAGGGTCAATGGGAACAATATTTTAAGGTTCTTGTAAACATATACTAAATGTTTATGTATTCATTGATAAGCCTACCAGCATCGGCAGACATGACATTTTAAGCCTAAATATATCAGCATGTATCAAAATTATGTTCTCCAACACAACTACAATACCATTACCCAACCTAAGAAAATTCACAATTCCCTAATATCATCTAATACCAGACTATATTCAGATTTCCACAATTCTGCACAAAAATGTATTTTACAGCTGTCTTTTAGTTTTTTCACACCGGGAACTAATCAAAGTTGTTCATGCCCTGCAGCCAAACACTCCCTGGGGACATACTTCGAACAAGATTGGATTTATTGGCTCTGCAGTGAGGGCAAGAGAGCACCTTGGGGGGAGGGGTGAAGGAGGCGTCTCAGTAAGAGGGTGTGGGGGGCTTGTTATAAGACTTCTGCTTGGGTTAGTTGATTTGGGGGAGAGTTCAAGGAAGCACGGTTTTACTCTGGACTGAGTGCTGTCAAAAAGCAAGGGCAGTTCTATGATTAGCTTAACAATTTTTATCTAGAGACAGGAGGAGCAAAGCAGGAAAGGGGGATGTTTGGCCATTTTTGTGGTTTGGATAATGTTCTTGTTTTTGTCTGTTCTTCAACAGGATTACAGAGTAGTTTTGTTTTTGTCTTGCTCCATAATGTTCACAGAGTGGCCTCGTGTTTTGGTGTTCTGTGATGCTGTTTATGTTCAGTAGGAGAACTCCATGGCTTAGCTGTTAGAGCCAGGCCAGCTCAGCAGACAGCAGTCATGGGCTCCTTTTCTTTTCTCAAAGTTCGTACTATATTTGGTTGTTACGTTTCTTTGTTTCTTTGAATCTAACACATTTTGCCACTGAAGGCTCTGGAACTTGGTTTACATTTTCCTTCAGTGTCAGCAGACCCTTAACCTGAGGCGCTTGGCACAACTAGAATGGCTAACCCACACCTAAATCAGACTCCTTTTTAATTCACTCACTAAGACCATAGCTGCACTTCTGCTTTTCACATGACTCTTTGCAATTCTGTAACTTAGGGTAGAAACACAGCCTGTTATTTTAAGATAAGTGGAAGGGACCAGATATATGGTTGTTACACAAAGCTTGACGCAAATGTTCGTGAAAGAATGATTTTCTCAGAATGTTACAGGATGTTAACAGAATTACTAATGTGAATCCTACGCTTCATCTACGTCCTTCCCCCAATGGTCATGGGTCTTAAAAAAATTGTCCACACTCACTGTCTCCACTTCTTCGCTTCCCTTACCCCGTTCTTTTGACCGACATCTGAATCTTGTTATCACCACTCTGAAAATTCTCCTACTAAAAATAACAAAACTCTAATTTTCTTGACTCTCCTCTTGACTTCCTGGAACCTCTTTCTCACTTCTGTTTACCTATTTCTCTAATTATCACCTGTCATGCCTTCACGGGGCTTTCTAAGGCTGGTGTTTTTGAAGACTCCCCACCTCCTGGCTGGCTGACTTGACCAACAGTCCATGCTCTATAGTCCCACTTCTGTTGTGACCCTCCTAAAACCCAAGTCTATGGCTTCTGCCAATCCCTGGGTGGTGCAAACAATTAACGCACTTGCCTGCTAACCAAAAGGTTGGAGGTTCAAGTCCACCCAAAGGCACCTCTGAAGAAAGGCCTGGCAATCTACTTCTAAAAAATCAGCCACCGAAAGCCCTATGGAGCACAGTTGTACTTTGACACACATGGGGTCAGAACTGACTCGAAGACAACTGGTTTAATTGATGGCTTCTGCTGATTTATGTATGGCAGTGGCTAGGGTGGGTAAACGTGGGATGTCACTGGCTCCCCACTGACTAGAAATTAAAATTCCATGGCATGGTATTGATGACCTACCAAGACAGTGCTCTTTCCTACTCCCTATCCTTCTCTCTCAGCAGCAAACCTCTCCACTGCAACACATATTCTGAGTGCCAGTCCTGCTGAGCTCCTGTCCTTTTGTCGGTTCATGATCTCTTTATTCTAAATACTCCCTCTGTTAAAATTAAGATTATTATTCAGTAAGTAGGGAGTGGGCCTGAAATTTTCATTTTGTATGTGCTCCTCAGGAGCCCTGGTGGCGCAGTGGTTAAGAGCTATAGTGAACTATGACTGCTAACCAAAAGGTTGGCAGTTCGAATCCACCAGCCGCTCCTTGGAAACCCTATGGGGCAGTTCTACTCTGTCCTATAGGGTCACTATGAGTCAAAATTGACTCGATGACAATGGGTTTGGTTTGTTTTTTTTTGGATGTGCTTCTCAGTGATGCTGGTACAGCTGTTCCAGACTTCACTTTGAGTAGGAAAACCTGGAATTTCTCCTTTCTAAAACTAATTTATTTCAGCATCTAAAATATCCTGGCCCAGCTAATTCTACCATTTGAATGATTTCAGTAGAAAAAGTGTGTGCCTATGTGAGAAGTTGTAGGTGAGGGGTTAGGGATGGACCACAAGGTGGAGATAGAAAATCACAAAATGAAACACAGTGATGTAACAGCAGTGGTTAACTCAATGTCTGTCCACATCTCTGGTTTTTTTTTTTAAATAGATAAACACATATGCACTGGGGAACATTTCTAAACTACAAAGAAAAAAATTAAAATTCCAAGGAATCCCACGGCTTAGTATAAGTCAGAGATTTATTCATTCAAATATTAATTAAGCATGTACTATGTGGCAGGCACTATGCAGACACCGCTGGAGACATAACTGCAAACAAGACAGACGTGGTCCGAGACTAGATGGAGTCTGTGATCAAGAGTAAGGGTCGATAAACTAAGTAAGGCCCACGAGTCCAATCCAGCCTGTGACCTATTTTAGTAGTTTTATGAGAACACAGCCGTACCCCTTCACGTACATGGTATTTTCTGTGCCTGCTTTCATGCCACAATGGCACAACAGAGGAATTGCAACAGAGACCAAAAATTCTAAAATATTTACTAGTTGTTCTTTTACATAAAAAGTTTGCTGACTCCTCGCCTAGAGGAAATGGATAATTTTCTGTGTGAAGGGCTTTTTTGGATTATTCTTAAGTATTTAATGATTTGAATTTCTTCTAAATTTCTTTTTCTAGTTGTTGTTTTATATAGAAATGCATTTGAATTTCTTAATTTGCTTATTAATTCTAATAGTTTATCTGTTGATTCTTTTAGGTATTCTACTATAGAATTATGTTGTCTACACATAATGACAATTTTATTTTTTCTCTTCAAATCCTTATATCATTTTTTAAAATTGGACTAAGAGTATCAGCACATGTTAAATAGAAATACTGATAGCCAATATCCTTTCTCTTTCTAATCTCAGGTGGGAAGTTTTTCTGTTTTTAAAATACAAAGCTTTCATGGAAATACCTTCGTATATTCATGGCATGATGTATTCTTGGGAACACCTTCTCTCTAAATACTTTCTTGATTTTTCAAATTACTTGTAACCTAATCTTTTCACTTCCTGTATCATATGCCACATTATATCATTAAATATCATGTTATTTAAATAGTCGTCTAAAACCTTTTAATGCCTATGTGGTATTCTATCATATACTTAGACCTTAAGCCATATCACCAATCTCCTATTGGAGTTTTCTATTCCTTCTGAGTCTGTGACAAATTGACTGTTTTCCTATTCCTCTTTTCCATGACAACCACTCATATTTACAGAGTGTTAAGTATGTACAAGTGGTGTTCTATGTATACCTGTGACAAAGCTAAAATGGCCCTCAAGAAGTTTATGGTTTGGTTAAGAGACATGGATACATGGGGAAGCACAAGAGCAGAGCCAGAGGAAGAATGGGCTTGGTTTGCTTGGGAACAGAAAGGAGCTGGGAGAGATAGGAGATGAACTTAGAGAGGCAGCAGGGACAGATCCCTCAGGGCTGAAAGAGAGGGAGAAGCAGAGAGGCATGATAGTTTGCTCTCTTAAAGATTCCTCTGGTTGGTTCTTTTTAAATCTTTGTCTCTGTGAGGTGCTAACTCAAGAACCCTTAACTGATCATTGAATTGATCAACTGAATATCACCAGTCTTTGGCCACTCCACCCACTTGTCAAAGTTAATCTCAACATAATGACACAGCCCAATAAGACACACTTCTCGCGAACTGCCATTGAATGTGTAGATATTTATTGAAAGCTTCTCAGGGATGGAGAGGGTTTACACTACACATCAAGGGAAAAACTTTAAATATTTTCCCCCTAAAGTTCCAGTACTTACATCAGTGGCCCAAATACTTTTTCTCATAAGAAAAATTGAAAACCTCCACCGTTCTCTTACCCTCACTCTCTCGGCCAGCCACCCTCGGTTCTTTCCCTTTATCCCTTTCTATGTAAGACTAATCTTGTCCTCTTGTAATTTAATTTTTCCTGCCATTTTCAATTTATCTGGGGGAGGAGAAGGGGAGATGAAGGTACAAGGAAGGACAAGGGTCTATCGGGAAGGGTACCAAAGAAAGCTCTTGGCAAAACTTCATTTTGTTCTTGTTAGGTGCCATCAAGTCAGTTCTGACTCACAGCAACCCCACGTGCTGCAGAAAGAAGCACTGCCCGGTCCTGCGCCATCCTCACAATCAATGCTATGTTTAAGTTCATTATAACAGCATGAATTATTATGATATGGCAACTGGCTTTTAAATGGTTAATTATTATAAGTATTAAGATATTTTGTGACCATTTTTAAAGTATAAATATTTGAACTCTAGTTTTACAATTGGTCTGATATTTTCATAAACAAAATATTTTAAAGCAAAAATCTCCTTCTGCCTCAGAAGAAACAAAGAAAGTCATTTTTGACGTTACCTTTGGGAGACCCAAGTGAGAACGCGCTTCAAATTTACAAGCATAAATTTGAGCGTCTTTGTCCACTGCTCCTCAGTGTTCAAGAAGGTCTTGATGGAGTAGTATTCACCTCTGTCTCCGGGGTCTTCCATCTGGCCCCTCTCCACAATGATCCGGTAGGGCAGGCGGAGACCCCCTTTTTCAGCCTTTTCCTTTAACTGCTGCAAACAGTCCAGGAAAGCCACCATTGCAAGGTCAAACTTATCCAAGAAGACACTCTGCTCCCTGTAATGGAACAATGGCAGCTGAACGGAGTCATCTGTTAGAGACTTCAGATATGAATGATTTCCGCAGGGGACAAGTTGAAACCTCTTAAATTCCAGTCCCATTTTCTTGGACAGGGCAAGGAGCAGCAGAGCTGTCTGCCCCCAAGCAGCGTTGATCTCACTCCAGCTCACAGGGACAGTGGGGAGGCAGCCCAACTTGAAGTTATTGATGATGCCCAAGGGGCCCTCATGCCAGATATCAAATGTCATGTGGAAGATGTTGGTTTTCATCAGCCGGCCCAGCTGGATCTGGGCATACTGCAGCCGGTTCTCCAAGCTCATCAGCTCATCAAACAATTCCAGTTGTTGCTGTTTCAAGACGCTGTAGTCCCTCTGGGACTGCTTCTCCTGCTGGTCCAGTTTCTCAGTCTCTGCCTGGGCTGCCTCGAGATCTCCTGCTGCCTGTTTCCAGTTCTTCTCCACATCATCCAGCTCCTGGACCAGCCTCGCCTCCTCCAGCTCCAGGCTCTTCAGCTCCATCTGCAACGCCTCCATCTCGTCCTCACACATTGTCAGCTCCCTGGTCTCCAAGCAGCATCTGTACATCTGACTCTCAGATTCTGTGACCATTATTTGGGTGTCTAGCTGCTCTAGAAGGTTGTTGGTGCACTCCTCACACAGGGGGTGATCCACTTCTTTCTCACTGGAAAGGATGTCAAATATGTCCAAGATGGTCTCCTGGATGCTGTTGAGTGTTCTTATGCAACGCACGTTCCTGAGCAGGGTGAAGGTGTCAGAAGTCTCCCAGGACATGGAAATTTCCCAGGACATCAGGCTGTCATCAAGGAGGGGTCCATAAGAGGCACCATCCTGTAGATTTGCAGTATCTGTCTCCTTCCTGGAAGTAGGGTCTTCCGCCTGGGTACTTCCTGACTTCCCCGGAGCCAGGGGAAGCGGTGGAGCTGGCTGTTGTTGGGTGGTGCTGAGGCTTAGGGTCCCCACAGACTGACTCAGTTTCAGGGGCTTACTGCAGCACTGGCAAATGAAACGGATGGAGGACTTGCTGGAGGACTTGACACTCATCTTGATTCCAAGTTTCTTCTGACTCCCCAGTTACTGATTTTTTAACATCTTCTTAAACTCTTTCTAGATGAGTAATTCTTGTCTAAGTCTCCTACTTAAAACCTTACCCAGTTGATACCATCCTTAGATACCTCTACACCTCCTTTAACCCCTTATGGACAAGGGATTCTTTCTAGATGGAAAATCTGATCATCATCCTTTCCTTCTTTAACATTTTCAAGGCACACCTTAAGAGTTATCTTTCTAAAACTGAAATCTGATCATACTACTTCTCTCCTTAAAATATTTTAACACCCTTATCTTATCCTTAAGATAAAATCCAATCGTCTTAACTTGACTCCCAAGGCCCCTGCCCTCGTTTCCAGCTTCTCTTACCATTTCCTGCCACCCTGACCCATAGGCTTCTCTATGTTTCTGCATCTAGTTGCCATCTAGTTGAGTCCGACTCATGGTAAAGCTATGTGTGTCAGATTAGAACTGTGTTCCATATGGTTTTCAATGGCCGATTTTTCAGAAATAGATCACCAAGCCTTTCTTCCAAAGAGCCTCTGGGTGGGCTAGAATCACCAGCCTTTTGGTTAGCAGCCAAGCACGTTAACTGTTTGTACCACCTAGGGACTCCATGCTAAGCTGCGTCTCAGTTCCACTATATAATATTGTCCCCTTTAACTGGAACACTCTTCCTGCCCCTCTTTGCCTGATGAACACTTACTCATCCTTTAGAGCTGGGTTGGATGCCATTTCCTCCAGAAAGCCTTCCCTGACTTCCAGTTGAGGTTATCTACTCTCCTGACACACTCAATATCCTTATCACACAGTAATGTATCCAGCCTGGCACGTGGTGTACATAGAAAAGATATTTGTTAAATTAATGAATAAAAATGAAGTAGTTTAGGGGTTTGCATTTTACCATCAGTTTAGGCTGAGGCTAAGATATGCCACTTCATAATTAACAAGATTAATTACTATAACCAAGCAAACAGATAACTTTACAAATATGTTAACTTGCATTAGTCAATCACCAGCTAAGCATGTAAGCTGGCCAGAGACATTAGTTCTAAAACAAAAAACCTTCCGAGTTTCTAACCTACACTTATTGAACCAGGTGGTGTAGAATATAAAATAAATCCATATGAAAAACAACAATTCCTCTTCTTCACCAGATGACCACAGTAAGGGGCAGAAAGCCACAAGGCCTGTCTCCCCGAGTCCAGCAGGAAGTGGCCTGAGGATAGGGAGGCTGCAGCCAGCCACACCCCCAGCCCTGTAAGAGGGAGGCTTCCAGAAGGCAGGGAGTTATGGTTCAGATTCACTGGAGAGTGATCCAGGACTCTACATGTTTAAGCATGTCAGGCAATAGCACTACCTAGACCATGTGTTGAGAGACTTTGCTCTATTGAGAGGTAACACCTTCCTCTGCTGCCCCTCTGCCGGCACTCTTCAAACCCCACTTAAACCTGTTAGCATCTGCCATCATTTAACCCAGTAAGTACAGCCAGAATGCTCCTTAGAAGCAAGGATGACAAGACTACGTCTCACATACTTTGGACATGTTATCAGGAGGGATCAGTCCCTGGAGAAGGACATCATGCTTGGTAAAGCGGAGGGTCAGCGAAAAAGAGGAAGACTCTCAATGAGATGGACAGACACAGTGGCTGCAACATGGGCTCAAGCATAACAATGATTGTGAGACGGCGCAGGAACAGACAGTGTTTCCTTCTATTGTGCGTGGGGTCGCTATGAGTCGGAACCAACTCAAAGGTACCTAACAACAGCAACAACAAAAGCTCTCAGTGCCTATCTGAACCTCGAAAACACTGGGAGGTAGGAAGACAAAGTGTATATTCTTACTTACAGGAAGGAAACTAAGGTGCAGAGAGTTTAAACAATGAGTCAAGGAGCGCCTCTAGCCCTCATGCCCTCTCTGAAATATCCTTGAATCATCAGATAGCTGCATCATCATCTAGAAGTTGACTACAGTGATCCCTACCCCTTTCCAGAAGATTTAGCATTCCCCAGTACCTTACAAGTGGGCCAAAGATGAAAAGCAATCCCATAATTAATTAGGAGATGGATCAGAAGTTCAAAAATGCTAAAACAATAATCCACAGTTTTCTATGAATTTAACAGTGAGTGAGGATTCCACAGTGCTGCAGAGGAGATGCACGTTGCCCTCTGAGATGTAACCCCAGGGATGACGGTCGGGAGGGATCTAGTACAAGTTCTGCTTTTCCTCACCCTGACCCTTCTCCTCCCAGATGAAAAGGATTGGGGAGCAACAGAATAAGGTTGGACCAGTTTCAAATGGCATGGTCATTCTGAGTCCTGGTTCATTCCTGGGAGTAGAATGGCAAAAATTCACTGGTAATGGCTAAGCCTCATTTTAATTACCCCTCCACTAAATCCAGAGTCCCTGGGTGGTGCAAATGGTTAACACACTGGGCTGCTAACCAAAAGGTTGGAAGTTTGAGTCCACCCAAAGGCACCTTGGAAGAAAGGCCTGGTGATGCACTTCAGAAAAATCATCCGTTTAAGACCCTATGGAGCACAGTTCGACCCTGACACACATGGGATTGTCATGAGTCAGAATCCACTCGATGGCAACTGGTAGCACTAAAGCGAAACAGAAATCCAAGCCACACCTTGCTTTGAGTTTTGAGCCAGGCCAGAGGGATGATGCTTCTCATGGGATAAGGGAACACGCCAGTGAAGGGTGTGGGGATTATTACTGACCACTGAATACCGCCTCCAGGAGAGTCCAAAATCAGTCAGTGGTGCCCTCCTTTAGTGAAAGGATCTCCTCTCAGTAACAGGAATGGGTGGAGCTGGAGAGTTCCTTTCAGTTTGGAAGAAAATCCCTTCTTATTTTTAGAGGGTTTCCCTCCAGTTCCCGCCTCCTCATTCCAGGATCTCATTTGGTGAAGGTCGGGAAGGGCCCAAGAATGAGAATTCCATGGTTTGGAGGGTGTTTAGGGCAGGACTTTGGTGCACTGCTATACAGCACCTAGATAAATTGTCTTGACTCCACTTCTCTTTCCAACTCTTGCCTCATTTCCTTTGCCTCAAACCTTTGCAACAAACCTCCAGGAAAGATTTGTCTGTACTCGCTGTCTCCAATTCCTCCCTTTCCATTCTCTTAAACCCACCCTAATCCAGTTTTAAGGGGCCTTGGTGGCATAGTGGTTAAGTGCTCAGCTGCTAACTGAAAGGTCAATGGTTCCAAACCATCAGCCCCTGTACAGGAGAAAGATGTGGTAGTCTGCTTTCATAAAGATTTCAGCCTTGGAAACCATATGGGACACTTCTACCCTGTCCTAGAGGGTTGCTGTAAGTTCAAATTGATGACAGCAACCAGTTTTGGGGTTGGAATCCAGTTTTTATTTTCACTACTCCAAGGAAACGTCTCTTATCAATTTCACAAATGCTAATTATGTTGCTGAATTTAATCTCAATGCAATGGGAAGCAAGGCCTGCACCTAAAATTGAGGATCTAGAAGATGCTGGGGATTTGAAGAGAGACGTGAGTATGTGAAATCGTCATCTAGGACAGTGAATAGTCTAAAGAAATGGGATGACTGCTGTCAGTGTTAAAGACCCATGTGAGGCTTGCTGTCATGAATTCAAGTGGCTGTACATTTTTCTTCAGCCACTGTCACCTGCATGAGTGCTACCAAGCAAATAAGACAAAACTAGAGGGAAAAGGGAGGAGAGGGGGCCAGGAAGGTTGGTTCTGGAATGCCTGCTGGGAAGAAAGGATGGGGGTCAGGCATGAGAGACAATGGGGTCAATGCACTTCAGTTCTGGTGGGGCTGAAGGCTTGTTGGAGTCAGAGTGTCAGGATGCTGGATGAGTAAACATAGGAGAAGGTAGTCAGAGAGGGCTGCATGAAAGAAAGATGGTGCAGAGGTTGCTCCTGCCCATCTATACGCATGCTTTACTCTCCTCGTCCTAAAACAACCTTCCTTTGATCTTTAAGCGTGCGATACAGTATTTTGGAGTCAGACAGACCTGGGTTCTACTCTTACTTGCTTGGCAGATTACTTAACCTCTTCAATGCTCAGATTCTTTATTTGAAAATGAATAAATGAAATAATAAATGTTAATACATATCAATAATTAGTAAAAACTAATAAATCAAACATAACCACCTTAGACGATTGCTTTGATGATTAAGGGAGATGATGTATCGATGCTCTATCAACATTAGTTTCCTCACACTACAGTCTCCTGCTCCTCAGGCTCCTTGAAACTTCTCAAAGTCCTCATCAGACACTCCTTACACCTTGCAATCTGGTGTCTGTCCCCGCAATTAATGGAATGAAATGGTTCTTGCTAAGGACAGCAGTGAACTCTTGCACAGCACACCCCAAAACAGCTTTTCAATCCTCCTCCTAACTGACTTTCTGTTCTTTAACATTTGAAACAATCGCCACCCTCTCCTTATTTAAGAAACAAAACAAACTAAAAACCCCTCCTTTGGTTCCAGAGGGTTGAGCTCTTCTAGTTCTCCTTCCGGATCTTTGACCTTCCGTTTCAACCTGGATGGCTCTTCTTGGCTGGGGTGTGATCTCCTTTAGCCTGCCAAGAGACTCCACACTTAAAAAAAAAAAAAACCCTTTATTTGATATGGGCAATTGGCTTTTTCTAGGCCTTAAAAAATGTGAATAAACCCAAGGTTGAGTAAGGACAGTGTTGATGTGTAGTGGGGTTGTTAACCATTGTCACAGGGCAACATGTGTACTAACTGTTTAATGAGAAACTACTTT